TTACTTACTACTACTACTACTACTACTACTACTACTCTACTCTCTCTCTCTCTCTCTCTCTCTCTCTCTCTCTCTCTCTCTCTCTCTCTCTCTCTCTCTCTCTCTCTCTCTCTCTCCCTCTCTCTGTCTGTCTTTTTTATCAAAAGTATACCGTGACAATGTCGGTATAAAGATCCAATTTTTTTATATCAATTATTTTTTAAATTAATCTGTATAATATTATAAATCAAAATAAATTTATTTAGAGAATGTGAATTCGTATTTAACTTTCTCAAGAAATCACATCTACTTTTTCCAACGTGAGTTGGTTAATAGTCGATTAATAATTGCTAATGCATTACACGTATCAATATATTATAATAAAAAATAAAGAAGTAATAATATTAACAGTTTTTTCGATTGCAGATAATCCAAATCGAAAATAATCGTGTTCAGTCAACTTTGTAATTTTTTAATTAAAAAACTATACCTTACAAAATATTAAATGTTGATTGCATTTATATACATAATCACACTCTTGTTTCTTATTCGTTTCTCTCAAATCTTTAATTCACAATACAGAATGCATTGAATAGACGAGAGATCGCTATCTACATTCTATTCTTCTTTGCTTGCAACATTCATATCTTTTTGTATTCCTAGTATTAGGAAATTATATGTATTGCAAATCATTATTATGATTTCTTACAGCTTCTTCTATACCCAATCTTCCTCGCAATTTTATTCCGATATTTATCTTTCTTCATCCTTTTTTTTGCCTTTATATACTTATCTGTTATATACACTTATTACGTTTTAACGAAATGCTCGCCATTCTATTCGGTATTCGCTTTTCCATTAAACGCTACTTATTTCCCTCTGTCGGTCCCTCTCCATCTATCTAAACTATGTGTATACATAAACTATGTCTATTCAACCGTGCCGCGGTGCGCTCGGCTGCTTCCCGTCTACCGTGTCAATGCGGACTAGCTGCTACGAAACGGGATAGACCATTGGCGCGCCCCAACAAATTCCTTGGCGCGAGATGTCGCGATTCCGAATGTTTAACCAGCTAGGCTAAACGATGGCAGCCGATGGCTGAACACGACCTAGAATTCCCGACGGCGATGTTTCTATACGATGAAAACGGAATGAGCGACGATCAGCATATTCGCGTTGGACACAATGAATTTATGGCACATGCCTTCGAGTTGCTTCAACTCGCAAACATCGTTGAGGAACTTCGTAGCGTGTCATAATTTTCCGGTTATCAAATTGTTGATTTACTATAGTTGATATCGCATGATATACATATATGTATTCGAATACATATATGTATATGTATACATATATAAATTTATACATGTATAAATTTTTAAAAATTAAGAAATTTAATTTACTTAAATTTGCGCTAAAATTATGATGGGTCATCATCTCTTGAAATTGTAAAGATATGCGCATCGTTGATGCGAAAAAAAACACAGGAAATTAGAACATTAAACAGGGAAATCGCAAGACTATAATTCGTCCAAGGAAAAAAGATGAAATGTCGGAAGGAGCGCTTAAAGACCTGGCACTCGAGTAAATACACGAGTTCGTGTTCGTGCCAGTTACTCTTTTAAGATGTAATATGTATCCAGTGCAACTCCCCTCCCGAATGAATTCCGAGATGCAATATAGTCGCTTAATCGCTCGTAATAACGCCGAGACGAATGCGGCGCTTCCCGAGACTATCGCGAAAAACTTCCGTAATTTCTGGCGGATGGCACCGTATAATCGCTCGCAGACGAATTTCATATGTCTTAGATACGGTGTTTCTTCATCATTTATAATAAACGTATTTTTATCTTTTTATGAGAATCCAATAAATGTACGGGCGAAGGAAAAATACAAATTCGTATTTTGTTATATTTCATTTCGTAAATTATATTTAAGTATATAATTAAAATTTTATGACTACCGTCTAAAATTATACTTTTGCATAAATAATTTAGAGCACATTACATCAAAGTAACATTAAAATAAAAAAATAGTCGTATTAATAGACATGTATGAGTATTTAGAATGTAAAACACGTCAGGAATTAGCGTGTACGTCGACTAAAATTTTCTGTGCTTCCAACATACATCGAAACAAACTTTGAACGAATCGACAGACATCGAAACTCGGTCGTCGAGGGATGGCACGTCGAGTCCCAATGCATCGTCGGTTTACATTAAAATCCTTTTAACTTGGGTACTGTGTATGAGGTCGTTAACATTCGCGAGAGCTCTCTCGACGACGCGATTAACCAAGAAGCAAGAGGAGCGTCGACCGCGGGTTCGTCTTTCTACGAGCGAGTGCGATATCGTCATCCTACAAACAGCATATATGCATTAAACCATGAACCCACTATCCCCGACGTCATATCCAATACACGTTGTTAGGGGTTGCTGAAGCCGCGATACAGTACGGGGAAACGGGGAGTGAGGACCGGGGGGAGGACGGTAGGTGGCTGCAGGGTGATTTCGAGGGTAGCTGCCAACCTCCCCCAGTGCGGTAATGGCATTAACCGAGCTGCAATATGATTACCGCTCTCGCAAGGTAACCTGATCACACCCGAAATCTATGGGGTGTCCGGAATACGAGAGAGAGAGAGAGAGAGAGAAACTTGTGCAGTGAGGAACAATGTATTGCTCTTGGAATAGCCGTGCAACGTTACGCAATTGCGGCGGTTGCAGCCGATGCCGAGGTTCGGCTGGCGTTCTCCCCCTTAATCGCGTTGCGCTTTTTGCGGCTCAGATTACCCGTGAATCATTAGATACTCGGGCCCCACTAGAATCGAAAGCCACCACTACCATCATGCTACGGATCGTTCCTTATCTCGGCATTACGAGATTAGGAACGTTGTTTCTCTTTCTTCTGTTTTTTTATTTGTCCTTTTTCGTTCGACAAAATATACTTTTTTTGTTAATTACCCACAAATTTTAACAATAATATTAAGTGCCAAGACAAAAAAATTTCCTAAAAATTTTATACTGAAGAAATTCGATTAAAATCAATATATGATTCGTAAAGATATAAATGTGTCAAAAAAATAAGCAACGCTTATTTCAATATTAAGAGTAAAATAAAATTTCTACACTAATTATTATTGACGGAAAACTATACAAGACTTACATGTCGTCATCGATAATAAAAGCAATTTTTAGATGCATTAATGCATCGTTTGGTATTTGCATTGAAACGGACTAAAGCGATTTCAAAGTCGCGAGAGTTTTAGTAACTACAAGCAAACGATGATTTTTCCTCTTATTTAAATAATACATATATATGTGCGAAAAAGATGTTTGCAAATAAAAGCGGACACTTCGTTTCTACGATAGCGACAATGCATAATATCGCTTAATATCTTTCGAAAACAGAGAGAATATCGTCAACATGCTATATGAAGAAGAAGCCACTTACCGTGAGATGTTGAAAGAGCCACGCCCTGAGGATGTTCGTCGCAACCTTAGGAAAGATACCCCGTTTCTTTTGGTTTTTCTTTCCTGACGAATCGTCATCTTCCTCGCCCGTACCCTCGCCGCTACCGATACTCGCGTTACTCGCGTCACCTGCAACAGTAAGAAGAGAGCCAAGGTCATCACGTGCCGCCTCGGTATAGTTGATGCAAATTTGAAAAATTCCGATCCTTTATTACATATTTATTTGTTGACGAGGGACAAATGTATTCTTACGTATTTCTAAAATCATTTTACCTACATATGTAGCGAAGGTTTCATATTGTAAACAAAATATATATTAGATCAATTTGTCTGATTATTTAAAATGTGATAAACTAAAAGAATCAATTTTAGTTCACGATTAAATCGCGAGATACCTCGCACGTCGAAGCAGAATTTCCGACGCATTTAAATTGTGCTCCGATTTTCGGTCCATACCCTGGTGGGCGATAACTACCTCGACCCTAGGGCTGGTTCCCATGCATACAAACACCATTAAGCCACCCGCAATCACCCGGCCCCCTTCGACCCGGAGAACCCCGTACACACGCTTCGTACTCAGTTCAACCACGTATCCCTGCCTCTTCTCCATCCGCGTGCATTAATTCTCCGTCATTTATCAATCTTAGCTTTTTAATTGCACAGTCGCTAGGGATTCGAAAACCGGGACAGTAATGAGAGATATTAAGACGCTTTTGATTGTGCTTTCTGGAAGTCCCAATGTCATATTTTCATATTATCAAACATAATTCGAGTTATTCGTTATTGTACATCGCATAAAATTGTAAGATGTGTTATAATTTTTAATATACTTTGACATACATGTGTGTATATATATATGTATATATATATATATATATATATATATACATACACATACACACACATCCCAAAAAATTGGATATCATAGTCGCAAATTTTCATCTCACAAAATGCACTGTTATTGAAAACAGCAGTTGTGATAATACGATTAGAGTAACCATTATTGTCCTATTACATAAGTTTTGAGGTGATTTTGGGAAATAAAATGCAATTTTATCGGAATTTTTGTGATGTTCCGGCGAATCAATCTCCCAGATGAGCCTGAGCACCGGAAGTTCGAGGTTTTCCTTTATTCTTTTTCCTCGCAATCAGCCAGAAAGGAGAGTAGAGAGAAGGCTACTTACGCCAGCGGATTATAAATGACCGAACCTTATCGTAATGCCCAAGGCCCCGATTCCCAAGGTTCTATCGTAACAGAGAGATCAGGGTGAGCCTGGCGCTCCCAGGGGGTTCACGATGACAGGTCGCCCGGGGGGCGCTGCCAACTCACCCCTCTCGCTCGCCAAAGAACGGTCTCGTGCCCGAGATTAACTTTGAATTCGTCGAGCGGACCGTGATCGGACAAGGGGAGGATAACAGCGGGCAGGCAAAACGAAAAATTTGTCCGTCGAAAGAGCGGACGGACCGGAACGACGGGAGATCGATGAAAATTGGTGCCACATACGACGATTTTCGCGTGTGTAGCTTTCTTGAAACTCTCCGAGGGAAAGAAAAGAAAGAGAAGCAACGCCTCGATTCGACGTAATGGATATTTATCATGTCATGACGCGATTCGTTTCGATGAACCGACAAATTCTATTAAATGCAATTTTCCAGGGAAATCGGCAACTATAAATAAAATTTTAATGCTGTATACAAAATTTGTAACTGTAATTTTGTAATTATCGATAAACGCATCCTAATACAAAATTTAAAAATAACTAAAAATAATTATAATTTAACGACGTTAAGATGTTGAGCTACATCGATATTATAAATCCATTTGATAAATTTTATGAAAATCAGTGATTCTGATGGCCATTTTTTTCTCATTAACCAAATTTATTTTCGGAGCATAAGATCCATTGGTGGCGATCGTTTTGCGCGTACGACAAAAACGACGTTAGACGTTCATCCCCTCTTCGACTCGGAAGCCCGTTAATGGGGTGTCCACAAAGTCGAATAGGGCGGCCCGCGAGCTCATAGAACCGGCGGGTGGCTAGCGAAATAACGGAATGGCTAACGGGAACGTCCTTCTGATTGCAGTTAATTTACTCCCTGAATCGGGTTAATGTAGCGTACCGGTCGTACAGCGCTGTGCCGTGTGGCACCGTACGGTGATGACCTATCGGTGTCCCGGTAAAAGAAAATGGTCTCCTTCGTCAGAGTATGCCATTCATTGAGTTCGGCAATTTAGACTAAATCTTTTTTAATCGCACAGTAATTTCAAACACGAATTTTAAATAATCTTAAAACGATCGACCGATTTATATTTTGAAAGAGTCAAACAAGTCAAAAGTTACAAAAAATTCTATAATTGAAATAAATTTCATATTATGTATATGTAAAACATTTGAAAATATTGAAATTTGTCGCTAACATATAAGAAATATCTGCAAAACTGTATTGGAAAAAATATTATGTTAGAATTGTAATAATTCATCAAAATGTATAACGCGTATTTTCCATGACAGGTCGTTAAAATCTTATTTGACTTTAGATACTCTCTGATACATTGATGTACATATGTACGTAATCCAGCTGCACTGGTATTTCACGCGCGATCATCCGCCCACAAACTGTCATCGATAATGTAATGTCGTTTCTCGTCGTTGCAATCGAGCGCACGTCATGAGATCAGGATTGTGATCGACAACCCACGCTGAGTTCCGTTCTGGTATGCATGTCCATGAACTTGATATAGATAGAATCTGGCAACATCCTTATTTTTAAGTATAAAGATTTTAAGCATTTTAATGCTTTATGCATTTTATTACTTATTTACTGAAATACATTTCTTTCATGTAACATCTCCGGAAATTAATAAAAATTATTTTTGCTCTTTACAATGGGAAATTATGACTTTCAATCATGACTATAATTGTTCATTAAAAATATATATATATAGTTACTCATATACGATTACTTTTACTGTACATACGTGCATTATGTTCATTCTATAATAAAAATCAATAAGAGCCACCTACACATAGCATGCAACGATCGCATATTGACAAGTGAATATGTCTTTAATCTTTAATCAAAGTATACACAGTGGCACAGAAATTCGCTGATAAATGCATACACGTGAATGCGTTCATTCACACGTGTATTTGTACGACACATTTACGAGGACGCTCTCGGCGGCGGACGTCAACGACGACGGCGGCGGCGACGGGGGTAGAAACCATATCGTCTGCGTGTTGATTTACGTGGCGTACCGCGCATTTTTACTACCACGTTATAGAGATTTAAGTGCGGCCAATTATATGTTTATGCCATCCCCGTGCCCGACTTGCCCTCTCTTTCGCTCGTTCGCTAGCTCTCCATCCAATAGCGTTTCCGACCAATGCGCGAATGCTCGGAACGGCGTGCTCGGTTTCTTTCTCTCGACCTGTCGCAGCTATACTTAGCGAATGGAGAATGGGTGAAACCTCACACGCCGGCGATAATCTATTTCGAGAGAGTCAATCTTTATCGCGCATGCCATTCTCAAAATTAAAAATACAATTTTTCGTTGGAAATATAATATATCGCGATAACAGCGACAATCAATTCGATCTCGTTTTAACAAAAATATTAATTCGAAACAAGAGATAAAGTATATACACGATCAAATTTATAGCCATCGCTAGATTTATAGGATCTCTTATATATGTATATAATCTGTATTTTCTTATATGAATTCATAATAATGATTTATAAATGTACTATATATGTATAATACAATTACATATTCATTAAATTCCAAAATGTTTAGAATCTCAAGAAAAATCAATAGTGTCGATAATCATATTGGAATAGAACGTCAAGCCGAGAACATCTTCCTCGAAGACGAGCTCGCAGCCTCTATTTAGGATGGCTGCGCAAACTGTCGAAATAACCAGCACATATGGCCGCCGAAAATAAACTGCTCCTTATTCCCATCCCGTCGAAACGAGTATCGTACTCATCTCTTTCTCTCTCTCTATCTGTCTCTCTCTCTCTCTTCTCTCCGTCCCCCTCTCCTCCCTCTTTCTCTCTCTACTCTCCCTTCCCTCTTGCTTTCTTATCTTTTCATTCTCGTCTTTTCCTTTTCACCCTTTCACACCCTTTCTCAGTGCTTCTTCCAACTACGCGGATCCGCTTCAAAACTTCTCATCGCGTGGCGTACGACTTTAGATGCGAGAACTCGAAAGTGCGTGACCCTTCGGCATGAGGGTGTAGGTAGAGAACCACGCACACCGGATACTAAGACATTTATTTGTTGTCGCGTTGACTACGCCACGTGCGTAAAAAATGCGACCGTCGAGCGAAGGGCGAGGAAAAAAGAAAACGAGAAAAAGGTGGGACATCGTATACGCCTCTTCGAGTATCGCGTTTCGCGGTCACGAAGACGACGCATCGCAATTGTAGCTTCAGGCTTTACGATGTTGAAGTGAAAATTCGTAGACTACGAGATAACATCACTCTCAGAAAGTAGGAGCGATCATTAGCTCGCTCAGTAATAGACAAAAGCGTTACATTCTATCGTCCTTTCAACAACAAAGTGCGGTATACTGGTTCATTTTATGCCTCTGCAAATCGTGAGAAAGGTCGTTGCACCAAAACACGCTGGCTCGAGTTGTTCCGAGTCCCGCGGCAGACTCCGCCACACAACTGCGAGGAGCATAAGTCTCTCTCTTCCACGATTCCCAGACTATTTTTGACGATGAAATGTGGCCCGCTGGTGTTCCTCGCCGCGTCATGTTGCGCACGCGAGAGGATCGTCGCGGTCGATTTCACGGAGCGCACGTATCCGCGCATCTGCGTGACGCATACGGGAGCGCCACTTAATCCGAGAATCTGCTTAACCGGGAGATTAATCGGCGATTGTGGGAGAGATGAGGCGCGATGGGGAACTCTCTCAGAGAGGATAGCGGCGCGGCGTCGGCAAGGAGATGGTCGCATCACATGAGGCTAGTCGGTGTTGAAGCACACTTTGTGGAAGTTTATCTTACAAATGAGCCGCGCGACGCACATAATTTAATGCAGAGTCGCTTTTGCGCATTTTCAACTGCGTGCACATTGACAAGCAATTTAAAATAAAGTTGACACATTTTTCATCCTCT